GATTGATGAAGGGGTGGTGAGGTCAGGTTTGCAAATACAAAACCATCTGCAGAGTCTCCTGGGTTGGTACCTGCAGCACAGTAATTTACAGGAGCAGGTGTTTCCTTTTAATCTACATTTTTTTTTCTGCTGAAATTGTAACTTTATTGAGAAAGTGCCTGCAGTTCCTTGTTAACAGGGTACTTTTGTTTATTGTTGCTATTAACTATTAACTGCTGAAAGCTGAAGTAATCCTACTCCTTAAAAATACAGCTAAGAACAGAGGCTGCGATGTTAAACATGTATGTCAATCCAACACACCTTAAGAAAGCTGCTATGCATAAACATCTGACAGCCCAAAAGGCCGTTTTTAAAATAGAAATATCTTCTTCAGAAAGGAGACATTTATTTCTGAATACTGGTGACTGAAATTATCATAACCATTAAGATTATAATTTATTTCTGTCCATGGCCATAAATATTCATGGAGTAAGGAGGGTTTCTGAAACAAAAGAAAAATTCAGGAATGCTAGCCAGAATTTCCCAACTGAACTGAGCTTGGCGGGTTGGGCACTCCAGTAAGTCCCCTTTGGTTTGGATCCAAAGCACAGCAAAAGGTCAGTAGAAAAAAAGACACGTGAATTCCAACTCAGGTTGCTGGCTTCGCTGCACCTCATACTCTGCCCCAGCTCCACGATCATCTACACAATCTCTCCTCTAGCCCAACTTCTCACAGCCTCACACCCAGATCGTACAAATGGTCTTTGCACCAGTGACTTCAACTAGTGGCAAAAGCCAAGGGCGTGCGGCCAAATCCCTTAATCATGATCCCCTGCTGCAAAATCTCTACAGAGGCATTACAACTCGTTTTCCTCTTCCTGCTTGCTTTGTATATACAACCAAAAAAAGGCACAGAATGCTGGACAGTGGATAAAACTTACGCTTCTATGATTCATGACACTGAGACCTAGGGAATGTCCTCCTCTGCCACTCAGGGAGACAAAACCACAAGTCACAGTGAACTCCTCACTACAGAAAGCAACAGTTAGAAATGTTTATTTTTTCATACTAAAGGTCTAAAACTGACCTCTAGAAAAATATTCCCACACTTCTTCACACTTATCCGGTAGTATATTGGGTTTTGTTATTCCACTTCGGCATTCTTCTGAAAATGTTGCATTACAGCTTGTAGCAAATTTTAGGAAGAAGGACAGTGATCCAGTAACTGAGAAAAATCTCTATCTTTTTGTTTAAGTTTGGTAATTATTTTAAAAACAGATCTACTCCCTTGGGGGAAAAAAAGGTCAGAATCAAGACGCATACTGGCAGATTTTGTTGGCTTTAACTGATATACCTTATTTTTTACCTGATCTGGCATCACCCTTTTATTTTACTTTTTTTACTTCTGAAGGTATTGTCTCTTCCTGGCATGTTTCCCTGTCACGCTGATGAATACAGAGACAAAGAAAATCTTTCCTTTTCCAGAAATAACTGTCTCATCTGTTGTCTACTTTCCCTTCCGACCCCTTACAGAACACGTGGCTCCTTTCTGTGACCTCTTGCTGTGTTTACCTTCGTGAAAACTCTTACTTCTACCTTTTGAAAAAATTACCAGGTTTGATAACAACTTTTCTATATATCTTTTCTGTCCACTCTCATCTAGACAACACAAAAGAAAGACAAAGTATTGTCATGAATGCTTTAAGCAAATCTCTTAAATGGCTTATTGGATTAAAAAATGTTTTCCCATTTTATTTGCATCCCTTTTAGCTCTGTATGCATTTCCATAGCAACACATTTATATGGTTTCTGCCATTCAATTTTTCTTCCCTCCTTTTGCTTCCCTCCTCATGGTTCTGTGCTTTCTTCCTGATCCCGACAAGAGCTATGCCTCTGCAGAAGCCAACACCGAAAAAGTGAAATGAGCAAACCTGCATTGAAATTTTCAACTCTCAGCTGTTGGATCTGGCCACAGACTTACTCAAAAACCTCCAGCGGCCGGTAACTTAATGACCTTCTGGCGGACACTTTCACAATAACTCTTAATTCTCAAGTGCACAGGAATTTTTGGAATTGTATCTTCCCTTCACATAATTTACTCCTGGTTGAACACACTGCTATGCCACAGTCCTCATTAAGAGAGCAGCACAAGCAGTTTGGCAAATTCCCCACACCAGATACAGCACACAAAAACACCCAGCATTCTTCCAACCTTCCACTTAGTATCTACACTCCATTTAGATTTCGATTTTAATTTAATCAAAAAAAGGAAAGTTAACCATTTTTTCAGAGAAATACTGAATTGCAAACTTCTGTGTTAATAACTGTAATACTGTACAGGTAGTTCCAGAAAATTCTCTCTTAGAGTTTTATTTGATTAATGAGGAAGGCCTAGCAACTTGCATTAAAAAAGAGATCACGGAAGGCCCATGATGAAGAAGCCTGCATGAAATTCAATAGCACTCAAAGGTTGTATTCAGCACTACCAGGGCCTAAAAACGGTGCTGCATAGGTACAAGATTGCGTAACATTTATTTTAAGTACAGCAGTCTCTTCAGAGAAATCAACCTCTAAGTACTGTTTCCCTTCTGCATTTTCCATGCTGACTTTGGCTTTTGGAAATTAGCTTAGGCAACCATCACTGTGTTCCTCTGTTTACTGATGTGATTTTGAGTCTGAATTCGCATTTCAAGTGGAATCAGACACTTCGTTTGGCACTAAAGTAACTTAGTGTTCAGGCTCTTGCTTCTTAAGACAGTTAAACCAGATTAACTATACACAGCTAATAAAACCAACAGGTAAGCCCTTTGCATGAAAATGTGAAACAAGGAGACGCAAACTCCAGATAATTTTATTTGAAGTTCAAGCAACCTATTTTTTGCACTAGGAGACGGACAGAATTTGTCACGACAATTAATTTCCTCCGCTGTTGACTGAAAATGTGCAATGCATTAAAACAAGCCTTAGTGAGTAATTAGGATCACCAGGTCAACTACACAGTGTTTCATGAGAAGAAAGTTGCTGCTCAGAAAGCAAGTGCTCTTTTTCTTGCCACTCTCAGCAGCCTTGCCTGTTTTGCATACGGTTGCATGTTTAATTAGCAATCTTTCTGTAAGTGTCTGCAATTAGCACAATGATGATTAATAAAATAACTCCTTTAAAGATCCATTTAGGCAGCAGAACTGCACAATCAGGTATAATTAATTCATCATTAATAAATCATGGCTGATTAACTAATCTGTTGATTACACACACATTACTGCACAGCCTCCCACCTGAGCTCTGGTGATTTTTCTATCCCAAACAGAAATAGAGACAAAGTAGTAGTAAACTATAAAAAATGCATTAAGCAGCAAAGATACGGGTTAGGTCAGGAAATTTTGATAGCTAGTGTACTTAAAATTTACTGGGTTTTGTTCATTATTAGTCCCCTTGAGTGAAAAAAAAAATAAAAATTGCACTGTCTCTTTGTTAAATGTGGACGGGTGAACAATAATTGCTTCTTCAGATCATTTATATTCTTATGGAGGGTTGTTGGTTGGGTTTTTTCTCCAAAGCATCTGAGATTATGGGCCCGATCCACTCTTCACATAAGTCAAGAGGAAGTAGCAGATGATCCAGGTCACTGGCCAGTAAGCAACCACGGCACCACGTGAGAAGGCGAGGTCAAAGCAGCCACTAAATGCACCGTCGCTGCTCAGCTGCCTCCGCAGCCGGGTCTGGCATCACGTGTGGAGCCTCCACTGATCCGCCACGTCTCAGGTCCGTGAACTTCAGCAAGATGGAATACAGAAGAACACGTGTTTTGAGTTGGAGGTTCATTTTGCTTGCCATCGAGCTCTTCAGCTTTGTAGCACATTTATGTTGTCTTTCTGGTACATTTTGTGTAGTGGCAGGAGCTAGAAACTTTAATTTCAAATGAATCTTAGGATTCTCCCGTTGTTACTTGCCTCCAGCTACTTGGACTTAAGTAAGATATAAGTTATGAGTTATGATAAAACTCAAAATAACGAAATAGGGGAACTTGGCACATCTAAGTTCCTCATAACTTATAAAGGGCTGACTTCCAGCCATTTCAACAGTATGAAAACATTTTTGAGTTCAAAATGCTTCATGCTGGAATATTGCAAAGAAAATGAACTAAAGCAAAGCTTAGGACAGAAGTGATTTGAAAGGGAAAGCAGAGTTTTAGTTAGAGTAACGGAAGCAGTTTAGTTTTCCTAATAAACCAGAGAAAGACGAGAACACTAAAGGAAAAAGGGACAAAACCTGAAGAACGCTTCATGAAGAAAATAACTGAAGAAACTTTTAAATTAGGAGTAAATCTTCAGTCTTTGAAAAGTAAATGACATTGCTATAACCCAAAAAGTTTTCTTTCAGCTTTCAACCAGTTTTAAGTGCACTACTATGTCAATCTCTCAAATCTTTCTCCAAAAACTTCAATTAAAAATATGGTCTAAGCACTAGTACTCATTAGCCACTGCCACAGCTCATAAGCCACTGCAATAGCATTCATGTTTTGACTGGTCCTAGAAGAGAACTATAAAGCACATTTCTAAACCAATTATAATTTTTTTTGTATTTTAATTCAAGTAAATTGATGAACATATGAGCATTATTTCAATACATGGCAGAAAAAGGTTTTTTTAGGAGGACTGTAGACAGATCTCATGGAAAATGACTGGTAGGGAAAATGATTATCAATCAGAAAGTTTTACAATTCAACTCGCTTTCGACATGACATTTGGAAACAAAGAAGAGAAGCATTTAAAAGCTGAAAACCAAGACAGCTGTCCTTAGGCATTTGTCTGAAGTTAGCGAACAAGCCAAGGGGCAAGATGAAAGCGAAGAAAGCACTGAGGATCTTGAGGATTACAAGTGGGCATTTTCAGGTACTTTTTAAAAATGGACAAGAGGTGATCAAATACTTTTGAGGATGTTGGTGATTCATTGCCTAGAGCTAAGTTATAATCAGTGAAAAATGAGTAATTTGAAGGTGTGGGAGATTAGTGTAAATTTCTTCAGAAAGTCAGGTATCCTTTTAATACAATAGCAATTTGCCCTGCAATATCAACTCTTCCATCACTACGCAGTGAAATCTTCAACTCTCCTCCACGGCGGGAACATTGAAAAGCTAGATAGAAACAAGAAGCCACAGTTAAATAGTGTCTATCACAAATTATTTAAAAACCCACGAAAACTCAGGGAAATGAGGCCTCTTTCTCCAGAAAGCAAGAAGCACCAGGGCAAGCACTGTACCAGGGATACCCTGGATGAAGATCAGACCAGAATTTGTGTGACAACAATGGCCATTAATGCAAGCGGGGAAGGACAGCTTCAGTGCTGCAGCCAATCGAGTCTCCATTGTGTATCTAAAGTCTTGGGTTCCCCCAAGAAGGGGGTAAGAAGGAAGAACACTCAAGTCTATCTGCAGAAGAATGAGGAACCACTTTACCAGCACTGAACATCTGAAGTGGCTACTAGGTTCAGAAAAGGTGTTTGGCTAATGGGTAAACTCTAGCAGGGAGTGGGAAAAGTCTTCAGAGAAACATATGTGCTGCTTCAGCTGTCATAAACAGAGACCAAATTCTTATACAGATCGGAACCGATATGGAATTGTATAATCCTGAATATATAATTTAATATAGTTGGATAAACCTTCAGTAGAAATAGCCTTCCACTTGTAAATAACCACCGCATTAAATTTTTGCCTAAGCTGTTTTGTCACATCCAGGTGGGATGGTAAAACTCACTTGGCATGTCAAGCCTGCAGACTCGTCTCAGCAGTTCGATTTTAGTTGCACAACTGCTCCGTCAGAAAATGGTCTGGTTCAGGTGGCATTTAGCAAAGGTTTGAGTTTCATAGCACTGTTTTTGTAAAAGGCGGATAAAGAGGCATTAATGCTCAGTCTCCTTACTCAATGAGCTTCCAGCTACTCCAAAAGTTGTTCAAAGCCAAGGAAGGTGCTCTTCCTCACAAAGCCACAACTTGTAAATTGGGTAGAGATTGTATTCAGATCCTGATAGAGCCCAGGATCTCTAACAGATAGCATATTTTCTCAGCCAGAGACGACAAGAAAGTTCTTCCTTTTAACAGGATATAAGATTCTCAGACAAAGCAAACACTCCAGAACAGTTGAAACAGGAGCTATAAAGATTGATATTGATACTTTCTGTTCTTTCCCATTTATAGAAATGATTCAATTTCTACTGGGTTTGGTTTTACTGGTTTTTTAGCTTGTCAGAAGAAACATCTGTGCATGGACTAATGCCTTCAATTGAATGGTTTGGACTCTCAGAGATCCAGACCATGCTAAACTTGATCAATTATTATTGCCAAGTGTGGATACACAACTAAATTCTGCCACTCCCTCATGACAGAAGATTTAAATAAAACAGATGGATTATTTCAAATCTTCAGATGTTGGTTGGGGTGTTTTTCTTTCTTTCTTTCTTGAAACGTGGAACCAGTGCTGCCTGTTTTCATGCAGGATTAGAGACTGTTTGATGCTGGTCCATTCTATTTTATTTCAAAGAAACCTCCACAGTAAAAAAAATTTAAAAAGCCCAACATAAACCACAAAGGAAAATTTTGCCCAAGCTTACGTGAAAATAATACTTGGTCTTTTCTTTCTCTCACACCGAAGCACTGATGTTTCACACTATGTCTAAAAGTAAACAGAACTGCATGGAACGTTTCAGTAACTAGAGGATTTTATTCAACAATAATGTCTCCGGAGACATTCCAGCACCTCTGACGTACGCTTGCCTTTTGGATCACAAAGTTATCACATGTTCATTCCATGTCTGCATTTACTAGGAACACCTCATACTATGTATATACGTTTTATACGTATTTTGTATAAAAACAAGTATGTAGTTGCCTTGAAATAAATCCTGGCAAAACTATGATCTTGCATCTACCAAAGTAAGGTTTGTTTTTTGGTTGGGTTACCCCTCCAAAAAAAGCATTATTCTGGCCTCACCTGAGATTAAAATTTTTTTTTTATAAAGCTCCTTTTTTTCACAATAATTGGTAAGTCCTCTATCATCTGTTTGAATATACCAAATACCTTAAGGATGTTTATAAATATTATCTTAGAAATGCAAAAAATATTTGAAGGGCTGGATACAGGAATTCATTAGCAATTATGAAAGTCAATACGTCTGATATGAGGAATTATAAACCATTACTGCAGAGATTCTTCAGATAAAGTAAGGCAAAGACTGACACTGAACTCTGATTTAACAGTCAGCTTAAATTCAAGGATATGTACATACTTTCAGGAAAGATCATAAGGTATTTCACCTTGTAAAAAGACTTTAAAACTCCCTTTGTAGTTGATGGGGGTAGCTGTTGTGTGACAATTCGGTTTAATAAAAGTAGGACGAGAACCTAAACACATGCAATTACATCTGATACTTCAGCAGAAATGCAGCTGACCTCCTCTTAGGGACCTGACAATAGATTTGACGTTCCTCATTTTTATATTATTTCATACCTGATCTATTTTGGAACTAACAGATCCTTAACTTTATGGAAGAAAACTTCCCTTTATTCTTGCAATAAAAGGCATTGGATATTACAGAAGCTACTGCAAAGGTTTCTAACAAGTCACAGGATGCTCTTATTTATCAGTCTTGGGTGATACGGAATCTTCTTGACTGCCAGCCATCTTTTCCAGAGAATCCTGTTAGTAATACAATTCACCCCAGCACTACCTGACACCCTTGGGCCACATACATGTAAGGAAAAGTAACTTCTCACAAACACATAAAAACCCCATGTGTTGATCAGATGTCAAATGAACTCACTCTGTTTAAATCTTTTATGTGATTTCTACCTCAAAAAGAAATTTGAGGACATATATATGCATGAGATCTGGGAAAGAAAGTGCTAAACACGTTAGAGATGCTGATTACAGTACCCACTGCCTTTGCTGTTGGAGATAGTTTCTCTACAAGAGGAAATAGCACTGTACATACAAAATACATGAAAATGCAAACCAGGTAGAAATTACCTTCTAAAAATACAGACAGAATTTCTGTCTGTCTCCTTAAAAAAAAAAAGCAGTGTCTGTATATAGCATGGAAGAGTTTAAAATGCCACATTAACATCTGAAAATGTCAAAAATTTTCTGAGAAACAGCTAGTCCACAGAGACGCATTACCAATGACGGTTTCTCCTCTTCAGGAAGTATTTTGGGATTTTTCTACCCAGCATTGTGGAAATTATCACAGATCTGTGTGATGTTAATGCAAATATGAGATTTTCAGAACAGAAAGTTAAACCTTTCCTTCAATCCACGATGGAGAAGGTCTCAGTCATTGCAGATTACCATACTGAGCTATGGAGCACAAACAGATTCTTTAGAGAGCTTATTATTCTTGAGAAAACTCATTCTGAGATTCATTTGACCAAATACAGGAAAGTTTATATTTAAGGCAGTTGTTTGTTTAGAAATGGGCTTACTTTTTTAGACAAGGTACCTTATTTGATCAACGGTCCAATCGCTGCTCTAAACTAAAAGTTATCACTGAACAGATCAACCTGGAGTAATTCTCAAGAAAATATCAAAATCAAGCAGAAACTGTGTGGCTTTTTACAGTCTCATTTTAACATACATAAGCGAAAAGGAAATCTCTGTCCAAATGAATTGAAAAATAAACATTGTGAAGGAAAATACTGATATCTGTTTCAAATACCCACAACACAAGCCATAGAACACCAAGAAGGAAAGGAAAACTCAATCAAAACACACAAACAACATCACTCGAAGTTTGCCAAGCTTAAGTTACGATGAAAGGTCATGAGAATTAAAATCCCCAAACTGAGATCAAAAACTAACTGCAGCGAGCTACGATCCGGAAATCAACACTTCAAATTCCCTGCAGGCATGATGTGTCATGATGGTGAGGAGGAAAGAAAGAAATTTCTTAAAGATTACCTTGTGCGTAAAATATTACATAACACTCTATTCATATCAAGAAAACAGTCAGAGATTTATTGCTATGGTTTGGATTGCAGCAATAATATAACATTTTCTTTTAGTGAGCAGCTGTTACATAAATGGGAATCTTTGCAAGAAAACAGTTTCTCTTACCAAGCATTTCTTTCTTCCCCAGCTGCTCTGACCAGTAGCTGCTTAAAACAGCATGGGCAGATCCTTAAAAGCAATTGGAAAACAAAGTATAGAATTAAATTAGAATCACTAGTTTATAGGGCAGCATATTCAAAATGTAAATGCAATAAACAGATCAGGTGCCATGTGTGTGTTTAGGGCAAAAACACCTCAGAATGTTCAGAGCAGATAGCCTTAAGGCTTTATCATTCCATTTATTTATGATAAAGTAGTATTACTTCCTCATCCTCTGACTTCAGTGCAAATTTTATGAGGGCTTCATGGTTAGACACAACTGGTAGGAATAACAAAGCATTCCCATTAAAAATTTATTTCTTTACCAGAAATGAAGTTTCCTAATAATACAATCTCAAAATTATCCATCTAAATGTGATGTTAATCAAGGAAAGATGAACAACTACCCATCAAAAAATGAATAGACGCTTGGACAGTTTTTAAGAATAGCACATGTGGACAGAAGTCATTGTGTAAAACAAAAATATTCTCTCTCCTAACAGTTTTTACAACAAAACCTCAGGACTCTTTTCAGTCTTGAATGCTGCCAAGTATCAGGATGTAACTTGGGAAGATTTTTAAGGTCTCACTGCAGCTTCTGAAAACTAAAAAGGCCAATTTGTTTCCTGACCAACAGACAGCTTAAAAACTTGGATGACTTCTCAAATTCATTAAGTTTAATAAGTACCTTTCAATTGAACTGAAACAGAAGAGTCACTTATCACACAAACACATACCTGTAACAGGGTCTTCCAGAACTCCAAACCAAGGTGCAAAATATCTGGAGTAAAAATCATGGCCTTTGTCTTTTCCACTGGAATTTCCCTTAAGAGTGAGAATGAGTCCTTTCACCTTTCCTGTATTTTCAGCTGACAAAAAACGTTGCGCGCTCACTTGCATTTCTTCCAACACAGACCTTGAATATAATTACAGAATTTTAATAACCCATATCCTTCATTTTAATTGAATTTAAGTATCAAAAAGAAATGTAAAACAAAATCATCTCCTCTACAATCCCAAAACAGCCACAGTAAAAATGTTAGAGGAGCCAAGATTCCTAGCACTGTCCTCCCAGCACCATTTGATAGAAGACTATGCTGAATGCAATGCACTGAGTGAGCAGAGAAAAAAAGGTTCAAGCCATGCGTTTCCTATTTATTTCTGAAGCAATCCTGGAGCACTGGCTACAGAGAGCACACTGTTCTTTCAACATTTTAATCACTGAAAGAAATATTTCGTTGCTACAGAATGCAAAGTGTAAACACTCCGTGGGATTCTAAAGCACCCTTAAACAGTCTGCGAAGCTGCAGGCACCTCCCTACAAAATAAATTCTGGAAGAGTGGAAATAATGAATACACAGCTGAGGATAGTTCTATCTCACCACCAGCCCAATCTTCAAGCATTAGTTAGGACAAATTTCAATAGTAGTAATTTGGCCTGATCAAAGAAGTAGTGTTTGAGCAACATGTATCCAAATCATACTTAACAATGAAAATCAGCTCTCCGAGATTAACAAATGCTTTGCAATTGTTTGAATTGGAATTCCTCTACAAAGCTCCTTAAGGTGCTGTTAAGTACATGTAAGTAGATTACAGTCAAATGACAATAAGAACCCACTGCGTTCCCTCAACGTGCTCTGCCTCACTAGCGATACGCAACTATTACTCCTTCGCCTAAGGAGCCAGATTCCTAATTTCCTGCTAGGTTACTAGATTTTTTTTTATTATTATTTTTTAACTCAAATGGATGGGGAAAATACACCATCGTTAAAGCTGCTTCCTACACCTCCTTTTTGCAGAGATTTCAGATTGATCTTACTCAGCTTTGCAGGTTCAGTAAATTCACATTACAAGGTAAAGTAACTACTTAACACAAAAGTTTAATTGAGAGGTTTTAATCTCCACGGTTTAGAACTAGAGGCAGATTTGATTTCTGCACACTTGATTTTTTTTTTTTTTTAAAAAGTATAAGGCACCTTTCATAAGCATCACTGAGGCGGACCAAGAGTTTCTTTGTGTCAGGGGAATAGCGGAGATCTTGAACAGTCATGTCACCAACGGCTGCCTGGTGGAAAAGTTAAAGAATACAAAGAAAATCATCATCATTTGAATATAAAATAGTATCTTCTTCACATTTTTGTAGAACAAACTCCCTCTAAAACAGGGCTTATGCAAGGTCTTTCACACAGTCCTCAGGTACATGCAAGCAAGAAAAATAAAGGCATCGAGTGCATGAATGGATACAGGCAGGTGCTAAGAGCTCTGGATATGTCAACTTGGAAAGAAATTCAGGGACCCAAAAGAGAGCAAGGATGCTAGAGTGTCCTCACATCCATAAGCAGTCTGAAAATACCACTGAAATAAATACTGACACTCCAGCCAAGGGTAGCAGGAGACAAAAGTTCAACTGCAGCACTTTGGAGAATTCCATTTCCCAAACTGCACAACTCAGACCTTTAAAGTTTCAGGATTGTATCAAGCAATGCCATGTTGCCACTTTTCAGCCATTTTAATACATCAAAATATGTATAGCTATTATAAAAGTGCTTTTAAGACCACACATAGATTCTTTTTTTACCTTTATTAACTCTTCTACGTCCTGAAGTGCCTGAAAAAAATATTAAGAGTGTAAAAATAGAATATAGGTACATACTTGTATCCAACTACAGACAGACAGATACACTTACATACACATACAAACATAAACACACACTTGCCTTGTAATGAATAAAATATGGACTGACCTGTGGGTAGGTTACGTAAAGTGGTAAATCCAGGACAATATGATTTTCCACTTGTCTGGCTTTTAATTCCCCACTCAGGGTCACAAATGTGATAACCGAGTTTGTGTTTTCTAGAAAGAGAACACTGCAACATTATCAAACCTAAGAATTTGAATCTAAATTATTACAGCTCTTAGAGTAGCTCAGCATGTTCAGGAAAAGTTAGTCATGCAATTAAAATATAAAAACTACAGGAAATCTTAATAAACTTAATAAATAATCTGCTGAGGCTAATAAAGACTGCAGTTGCCAGTGAATCTTTCCTGCATGTTCCAGGAATGAACAGGAGTTTCCTTTTAACAGAAAGAGCAATATTCCCTATTCATCAAATTCTACTGTACCTCTCCCGGACGACATTTGCACATTTAGCTGTTTGCCTCAAGAAGAATAACATTTGGCCATCAGAATCTACATGGAGGAAACTGACTACCGGCTTACAATCACAGAGCAACTGTCAAAGTCAGCACCTAAGGTATCTCCACATGTGTTCATTAAACGTTCTGAACATTTAATTGCCTTTGTGGTAGAAAATGTTGTACTAATAAGGAGCTTGTAAACATACTTTGTATGTGAAACAACACAGCAGCTGATGCAAGTGTAGCATGACCACAGAGAGGAACTTCACTGGCTGGGGTGAACCACCTGAGTCCAAAGCAGGAACCTTGAAAATAAAGTTTGTTTAGCATTATTAAGTGGAAGAAGACTATTTCTTCAATGCATGTGATAATCAGTCTTGGTCTCAAACACACTTTTAGGAACTTATTTTGTACCAATTTGTGGACTAGCCACTGGCTGTTCAAACCGAAGGAACAGGACACTTTCTCAGCATACTGTCCCAGGGCCTCTTTCAGACAGCTGATAACCCCAAACCTGTTTCCCTCTCTCTTCCACCAGGTTGCTTCAGGGAGAGGGCCAATGTGCCAGTGTGCTCCCTGACCCTGGAGCCTAACTCCAGGCTCGTGGGATTCCAGCCCCTTGGCTCATGTCAGCACGCAACCGCCATGCGAGCAGATTCAGCAAACTGATTCAGCTTGAAACTAACCCACAAAGTGATTCTGAACAAACTCTGGTCTCTCTGATATTTTCTGTCTTGTCTAGCGCCTCCAAGGTCTTTAACATCGTTCCTTATAAATGCTCCTACAGTGCCTTCCTGTTCCCTTGTAACAGATTTTGGTGAGCAAACAGAACCACTCACTTTTGGTAAAGTCATCTCCAGGGTGCAGTTTTCTGATGAAAGCAGTTTCTGAAAGGTTCATTTCTGTTGCGATTTTTTGGTGCAAATCTTCATCCAAGCCCTAATGATGAAACCGTAAATTCAATTCAAAGCAGGCCAAAAAATGCAGAATCAATTTTTCTGACAAATGAATACAGGAATTTCATTTTTTATTAAAATAAAACACAGATTCATTTTTAGTTCTGAATACTTCCTGAGAGTAAAAAAAGCTTTAGACATAAAATGGGATAACTAGTTCAATCATTGTGCTAAGTAGGCATTGCTAATAACTGTCCTACTAGCTTACAAGTTCTTGAAATATATGGAAAATAAAATCATCAAAAAACTAATCTTAGTCTTTATATGAAAACAAATTTTTTTTTGAAGTTATGACGAAAGTCACACTAAGAAGTCATCATTAACATAACCAAAAAAATAACTGCAACTCTCTTTTTATAACTCCGAAAAAACCATGCCAGCAAGAAGCACAGAATACTGGCTAAGGCTAGGATAACTGATCAGCACATAGTTGTACCCTCAATACTACTCTTTAAACAACAGGAACAATACCGCAAGTCAGTAGAAGCTGAGAGAAGACAAAAATGAAAACCAAAACTGCTGGAGCTCACTCCATTCTGTTCTGCCTGCCTGCAGATTGAAACCAGCAAACATTGATCCCAGGACACAGGAGCTGCAGTGATTGTGTAAAATTCTACTTCACCCTTGTTCTATTGCTCTTTCCCCACAATTATGCTGACTGGCCAGGTTTGAGAATCTGGTCTTTAAAGTACTGAAAAACAAATGAAAAAGTGTTACGTGGATCTGGTCAGGTTCAACCCCCAAGAGATAAAAATTTGCCCAGCTAACATTATTTACTTCCCTTAATAACTTTAATACTTTTCAGCCAACGGTGCCATACTACAGATAGGAAATAACTGATATGCATCACAGACCTGTACTTACAGAGTAAATTCTATACAATAAAACAACATTCTAACTTTTTTATAGGAACAAATACCTACTTTGAGAATAGTTTTGAGTCTAAAGATACTAAACCAAAACAAAGACCAACCAACGTATTAAAAATAATAGAACTTTATTGAAATATATTGAAATACTGCCATCCTGTGGCACTTCTGAAACACAGAAGAGGCTTGTTTTGCCATTCTTGCACTAGTCCCAAAGCACTTTTGTAACACCTCTGCCAAGAATCTGAAGGGAACAGAAATATTGCTGTAAGCTGCACCACACTTCCTTGGAGCTTAGAACAAAATTATGAATCAGGATCTCGGCTTTAACTGAACATCAGCTTCAACTTTGACACTAAAGCCTCTAGCCCCAGGTGCTACAGAAAACAACTTAAAAATCTCTACATTCCAAAGGCAACATGCAAATAAATTGCCTTCACAATACGCTCATATACTAAAGTCAAATTAATATAAAAATGCAATTAGAAGCTCCTAGATTTAAAGCAAACTCCTTCTGAGAGGGAGTAGATTTCAGAAGGCAAAAACTACCTCTGAAGTTTCTGTCAAAACTTTAGTTGATCTGATCTATAGGTAAGTTTTGTACAAGATCTAGGCAGGTTTAGGAGCATCTAGAAAGGACTCCTCTAAGCACAGGTTATTGCCCCTGACAGCTCTGTGTCTGTTTTCCCACTTAAAATTTTTACAAAGTGTTACTACACAAATAATATAAGGCCTACAACGGTAAAAGACAGATTCAGGTCCGCACTTTCCCTTTTTCCTTCCATAGCAAGAGGAAAA